CACATGTCTGACTACAGTTCAAGTCTCAGACCTGGTAGCTTACTTTCTCACTTCCTCTCTCTCTCTCTCTCTTTCTCTGTTTCCTTCTGGTGAGCACATATGCCTTAAAGCAAATTTAAAAATAATAAATAAATAAATTAATTAAATTAAATTAAATACTCTTTAAAAAAATTAATTGAAAATGGAAAACTTTAGGGCTAGCAGATGGTATAGCGGTTACCTCACTGCACTCCCACATGGCTGACTGCAGTTCAAATCCCAGATCTGATGACTTGAAACTCATACTGGATCTGTAGATGCCCAAGACCCTGGGAGGAGAATGGAGAAGGGACTGGCCATCGCCCAGGAGGTGATTTTTCACTTTCCCTCTCACTCTCTCTCTCTGTCTGGTGAAGTGAGTGTATATGCCCTAAGGCAAAACCTCCAGGGAAAACATAGAAAGAAGCTAAAAACCTTCACATTTTAGCTATAGAGACGAATGACATTTGATGTGTAAGCCACGAGTCACAAGAGGATTTTGCAAGTTAAGCGCGCATTGGAGGGCACAGCTTACTGAGAAGTATGATGACACAGAGGAGAATAGCAATGAGCGCCCCGGTGCTCAGGCCCGCCGAGAGAATCAGGGCCTCGGCGTTGCAGGACTGCATGTTTCCGTGATTATCACAGGCACACACACGGATGGTGAGCGTGCCAGTGCTGCTTTGGATAGGATAGTCATTGTCAAAGATTAAAATCGGCAGGAGATAGGTGCTCATTTTGTTGCGGCTGTACCCATCTTTTCGCGTCATGATTCCCGCTGTATTATCTAGGCAGAAAAAAAGGTTGAAACATAATTCATACTCATGTTTACTTCTGCATCTGAAGGACTTGTACTCAGTTAGTTTTAGAAACATTCTATATTATACCTTTGTTGTCTACGATGGTGAAGTTCGGATTGAGAGGAAATTCTGGCACTGGTTCAAAGAAGAATTTGTGGCCTCGAGGAGGGTCGTCTTTGTCCATGACACTGACTGTCTGAATCAACTGAAACCGAAATAAAGAAGCTAATAAGTTCAACAAAACCAACAAAGACCTCTTTTGTTGTTTTAAGACATTTTAAATCATCCATGTGTTTGTGTTTTAAATGCATCATTAAAGTCAAACAAAAAATATGTCATTTTCAGAATAATATGTGAGGTTTTTTTGTTTCTCTTTGTTTCTTTTTTAAATGGCTTTGCTCCAGGTAATTTGTTTAATTAAGAAGAAAAATGTCCATCAACTACTGGACTGCAGGACATCTTAATGCACCATCGTCTCATTTCTGGCCGTAGCAGATTTCATTCACAAAGAGAAATTTGATCATTTCAATGATCTTGTTTTGACATTGTTACAGAACATTGGCCTGGTTTATTCTTAATTGGTTACTGATCTGTTCTCTCCACTAGAAAATAATTTCTCAAAGGAAGAGAACATTGAAGATGCAATTTTAAAAATCATAAATACTCAGCGTAACCACTGCTATACATTAAAAATAACACTGGGCTGTTGGAAAAATCATATTTTTTTCTGTTTTTCTATGAAAAAATGCATCATGACTTTTCCTACAACCCAATATTAATAATACACGAGGGGGCTTCAAAACATTTGTGGAAAAATGAAACAAAAGTGCAAGTTTATTTTGGTGCAATAATTTTGAAATGCATGCACCTTTCTTATGCATTTTTATTAACTTTCTGAATACACCTTGTATTTTTGGAAAAGTAAACCATTGATCACATTAAAAGAAAATAATCATAAAGCCATGGATATAATTATTACAAGTATATTTGATATTTCATACAAATTGCTGGCTTTTCTTTGAATGGCATTTGCAAAGACAGATGCACAAATAAATGCTTCTAAATTTTGTGGAATCAGTGATGAAGTTGTGAAATTAGAGCACTCCTCTGTGAGCTCAGTGGAATTCAGAATGTCCATTGTGGACAATGGGTGAACAAACAGGTTAAACAAAGGTTCCTCTACACATTGTATAGCCGATAAAGCACTAAAATATGCACTGGCTGTTCGTTTTCTAGTTCTGGGTTTGCCATCTGTGGGCTTTGAAATTCTAGTCACTCAATTGTCCTTACTCTCAACTTTCTCTTCTACAAAAGGAAACAGTTGCCCAGCTGCCAGGTAACATAGTCCAACATTCCATGGTGAACAATTACAGTAGTTTAATGTTGTCATTGTTTCAGTTATTGTATATTTCTGTAACTAAACTAACCTGCACACTCACTAGTCAAGACTCCACACCTAAATTTGATACAAACTTTACTTTTATTCACTTCATTAACAGTGTTACAGATAATGTTACATTTCTTTATACAAGGCTTCTAAAGTAGGAAACTATTAATACAAGCATAATGGGGCCAGCAGGTGGTGTGGTGGTTAAAGTGCTGAACTCCCATAAGGTTGATCTCCATTTGGGTCCCAGAACTCGAGGCTTGGCTTTCTCACTCCCCTTCCATGACCCCTTCCTCTCTCTCTCTGGTAAGCACACATGCCCTACAGCATGCTAAAAAAGGATAATCATAGTGATACATAAAAGTAAATAAATAATTCTTTTAAAAATACAAACATAATACACTTTTCCTTCTTAGAATGTTGGAGCATAACCTAAAAGAATTATATGAGAGTTATATAAATATTATTATAAGATCTGACATTCTTGCTCAATCTCTTGATCTTGAATAGCATTAATAAATCTAAATGTTATTAATATTTTAAATAATTCAAAGCATGGATCCTTCAATTATATGACTCTTATGCTCTTGAAATGATTAGATATATCTTGTTTCAGTAAAATTTTAAGAATGTATACATATCAGTGGCTTAAAATATATTTTATTTTTTAACTTTTTAAAATTTTAACCCAATCCGAATAGTACATTAAAATCATTATAATTAGCTAATATTAATGATACTTTAATTTTATCAAATAGTCAAATATATCAATAACTCATAGGAATCAATAACAAATAACATACTAATAAATAAATGACTAAAAAACTATCCGGTCTATTGCAAGTTGACTTGTGTCCCTTGTGTTCCTCCAAATGATATTCAGGCCCTACTTTCTGGTATCTGTGAATGTGACTTTATTTGGAAATAGGCTCTTTGCAGATTTATTCAAGTTAAAATGAGATCATATTGCATCAAGAAGGGCCCAGTGATGGAAATCCTCAAAAAAACCCAAAATACCAGTTTAGACACAGAAAGAGATACAGGGATAGTGCCATAAGAGTGGAGGCAGATGAGACCACTAGATGGTATGGTGGTGAAGGGCGCTGGACTCTCACATGGTTCAAGTCCTGGTCTGGTAACTTGCCTTCTCACTTTCTCTCTCTCTCAGTCTGGTGCTCTCTGGTCAAAATAAATAAATAAATAAAAAGTTAAATAAATTAATTATTAAAAAAATTTTAAAAAGAGTGGGAGGCAGAGATTGGAGTAAGTGAAGTGCACAAATCAAGGCATGCCAAGGATCCCTGGCAAAGACGAGAGGTTGGACACAGCAAGGAAGGGTCTTCACCTAGAACTTTCAAAGAGACACATTCATTTTGAACTTCTAGCCTTCAGAACTGTAAGAGAAAAAAATCCCATCAAGTCATCTAGTTTGTGGTCATTTGTCATGACAGCCTCAGGGAACTAACACAGCTGTGAAGACTTACAAATCAAGTAAAAGTCCACATTTCTTTGAAAAAAAAGTTCCACCTCAGTAAGTCTGAAAGAATTTACACTAAAACTATTAAGAGATATTTAAATGTTTCCAGATATTTAAAATCTAGAGTCACTCAAGTAAATAAGCAATCATACGTATTTGGTGGGACTCTCAATTTGTGACATAGCTGGAAAATCATTTGGCAGCATTTATTAGTATTTATTTAAAAATTTAATTATCTCTGGAACCAACAGATGGTGAAATGGTTGTTTCACTGGGGTTCCACAGGTTCCAGATCCCAGCAACTTAAACTTATGCCAGGCGTATATGCATGTAATGCTCCAAGATCCCGAGAGGAGAATGGAGCCGAAGTGATTGTGGCATGGTCATTCCCCCAGGGGATGATTTCTCACTTCCTGTCTTTCTGAAGAGTGCATGCACCCTATAGCAAAAATCTCTCTCCAAAAAAATTAATTATTCCTATTTTGACAATTATACCAAAAGAAAATATTGGTTTATTGTGAAAGTCATGACACATTTTGCATAGAAACATTTTACTGATGACCTAATATTACTAGGAACAAATAGGTATAGAGTACTAAATATCTATTACAATATTATATGCTGGAATAGCGTTTTATTGACAAAACTAATATCTATTAGTGGGACAATAGTTGAATAAGCTAATTAATATAAAGCAATGCTATTAACATTACGCATCAGGTCAAAATAGTCACTTACTGAATTAAGAATATGCTTATTACATGTAGGAAATTAAAAAAAATCTAAATAACTATGCAATTATTTTATGTTGGTAAAAAGAAAACAAAAGCTTCATTTTTTTTTTTTTCTGTGTAAGTAGGCATAATCCGGTACTTATCTCTGTTTTAGTCACCTGAGATGGTGTAACACAACACCACAGACTTGGGGGGCTGAAACAACACGGAGGTATTTTCTCACAGTTCTGAAGGCTGGCAATGGAGACTGGGGTACCAGCGCGATGGGCTTCGGGTGAAGGCGCTCTTGCAGGCTTGCATAGAGCAACCTGTTCTTTGTGTTCTCACATGGCCCTTCCTTGTTTCATGAGCTCAGAGACAGAGTACAAACTCTGGGCTTTTTTTTTTTTTTTGGTCCTTCAATTTTTGGACATGTGTGCTAGCCAGAGAGTGACAAAGAGAGAGACAGTGAGAGGGAAAGTGAGCAAACTTTTTTTTTTTTTTTTGGTCCTTCAATTTTTGGACATGTGTGCTAGCCAGAGAGTGACAAAGAGAGAGACAGTGAGAGGGAAAGTGAGCAAACAGCCCTCCCAGGGAAGATGGTCACACTGTAATCCCTTCTCCTCCATTTTCCTCCTGGGATTTTGAAAACACAGCACATGCACCTGGTGTGATTCTCGAGCCACAAGGTCTGGACTCAGACTATGGCCTTCTGTGCAGAGTCCAGTGTCTTAACACCATGCCACCTGCTACTTCCTCTGGTGTCTCTTCTTATAAGAATATTAATCATATCAGATCAGAGTTTCTCCCTCAGGGGCTTCACTTAACCTTAATTACTTGCTTAACCTCAACTCCAAACATAGCCGCATTGGGGGCTAAGTCTAAACATAAATTTTGGGGAGACAAAATCCAGTACTTGACAATCTTCACTGGAACAGAAGTAAGACCATATATCATTTTAGTTTTTATGCTTATAAAGACCTGAAGGATTTATAGATCTTAGCATCTGCTTCCTTTTTCTTTAAAGACATAGGTCTCTTTTAACTGGTTAAATTACTTCTAGTAAAATTTGAGCAGATAACTGTCATTGGAAAAGTTTTATCAAAAATGAATATATTCTACATTTGCTTAAAATTTCCTTAGACATATTTAAAAATACTTTGTAAGAGAGCTCTGTAGCTCTTTTACAAATCTTTTTAATTACAATAATATTAATACAAATAGTAAAAACAATAAACAGAATTTCACTTTTATCAAACTAAAGTCATCTGACTGAATTAGTCAAAGTAACAAAATTTAATCAATAAACCAATTCTTACAATTTTCTGTGTTTTTTTTTATTTTTATTTTTTGGAGAGGTTTTGGCTATAGGGCACGTGTGCTTGCCAAAAAAAAGAAAAGAGACAGAGAGAGACAAAAAGCAAGAAATCACCCTCCAGAGGAGATAGCCACGCTGCAATCCCTTCTCCTCCATTCTCCTTTCAAGATCTTGGGCACGCACCCACACGCGCCCTGCGTGCATTTAAGCTACACGGTCCGCGACTCAAACCATGGTCAACTACATGGGAGTTCAGTGACATAGCCATTACATTAACTGCTGGTCCCATGATTTTCTGTTTTTAAATAATTATTTTATTTCACTTTATTTATTTATTTATGATGATGATTATTACTATTATTTTAATATTTCCAGAGAGAGACACACACACACATACACACATACAGAGAAAGTGAGAAAGCAAGCCTCCAGGTTCAGAACTTGAACCACGGTTGGCCATCTGGGAGTCCAGCACTCTTAACCACCATGCCACATGCCAGCCCCCTTATGAATTTCTTGTGTCAACATAGAACAATTTCATTTTTATAACTCATGTTTTATTTAGTAATGTACTTCTAGGGACCTTCCAGTTAAGGTGTTGGATTCCACAGGGTTGCTGTGCTGTTCACGTCTCTGACTTGACAGCTTAAAAATCACACCCAGGTAGAAGGAAGGTGAGAAAGCTAGCTGCCGGGTTCGGACCTTGAGCTACGGTCGACCGTTTGAGAGTCCAGCACCTTAATCACACCACCTGTTGACCCCATAATAAAATGGTTTAAAAAATCTTTTTAAGATCACCGTGAGTTCTTTGGCAAAGGGAGATGAATAAGTGACATGGAGTATTAATAATAATTTTCACGAAAAAGCATACAATTAAATTAATGCAATAATATTTGTCTTTGTAAAACAACATTGTTTTTTAGAAGCACACAGTAATTTCATTTACCTGCCCAGGTTTTGCATTTTCACAAACAAATGTCTCATAGTACATGGCAAATTCTGGAGCATGGTCATTTATATCTAAAATTCTGATGAAGACAGGAATGTGACTACTTTGTTTTGGGTTATCTGCAACAAGAACATGAATAAGAGTTTAGTCCCATTTACAGAGAATTGGTGCAATCGTACACTCCATTTGTAACTTAGCAACAGATAACTTCAGTGGTAGTACTTTCTCTATCGGATTGTCGGTGAATATCTAAGCTTTCTGACATGGTCCAAATGAAAAGAATAATTAAAAAAAATAAAAATGAAGAATTATTTGTAATAGGTAATTGTTGTAGACATTACTTTTATGAGATTCGATTATATCTGTTCTATAGCCAGGGGTAAAAGAAAACCAAATTTCAAATAAAAGGATGATGACCATCTTTAAAATAATTTGAAAAGCCAACACAATCTAAATCATTTCTTTAAGATCTTGCTAAAAACGTCACCATTTAACTCAAGGAAAAGAGTCTACTTAGTACCATTATTTTACCACTTGGTAAAAGAAAATGCATTCACATGGCTGCTTTTACCACTTACCCATTTCTGTGGCTGTAACGGTGATATTGTGCCAAGGGGAAGATTCCCGGTCAAGGGGCTTCAAAGTGAAAATAGAGCCATTCTCTGAGTAGATACTGAAAATTCGGTCCATATCAGTATGCCGATCGACAGAGTATCTGGAAGAAAAAAGACTCATAAATCCTGGAATTGTTCAAAAATTATTAGTTCTTCCACGGTTTCCTAAAGTTACAGGCGATTCCCACAAGGCCTTGAACAGACTTGAAATGTAAAATGCTGACAACTTTCTTGAAATTCCTTCTTATAGAACTGCCATTTAACAATGGTATATATTTGACCCTTTTCATTATTATTTGTCTGTGATTACATGTACTTTGGGGTCCTTCTTTATACATATGAGTCCTTACAGCAGATTTTAAGTGAGTTTTTGAGTGTCACTTGATTTATGGGTCCTATCACGGCGCATCACCATGCTTGAGACATACTCAACAGTCATGTTAAGCTCAATCGAGTCAATAGCATATCAAAAGTGGAAAGTATGTTAAAAACAACAGCGTAACTGCGCGTTCACAGTCCTCTAGGAGGCTAAGTGGCTATAGAGAAGACTACTGTGTACTACGTGGCTCTTAATGGCTCTCTATTTAAGGACTGTCTCAGTTGAAGCACGAGTAGGCTTTCCTCTCATCTGTCCCTCCAAATAATTGTTTTATTCCAAATGAATACAGAATGTCACACAGGTACTGATGTTTTCATCAGCACTGGGTAGGAGAGATGTCGCCCTTCACATCTTATCACTCTACTATTGGCATCATAACGTCTTCTCTCTCAAATTGTTTCAAACCCTAATCCCCAGAATGTGAGGGCATATTTCTTTACGTGGCAAAAGTAATTTTGCAGGTGTGATTAAGGCTAAAAACGCTGATTGTTCTTGGTTATCTGGATGTGCCTGAGTTAAACTATACCAGCTCTTAAAAGTGGAACAGGAAGAAAGAAAAGTGGTTTATAAAGATCAGACAGAAGAAGCAAAAACAGAGGTTTGACTTGAGAAGAATGAACTGGGCCTACTGTTGCTTCCTTCTAAGATGGAGGAAGGAGACCAGGGCCCAAGGAAAGTAGGCAGCCTCTAGAGACTGGGGGCTTTATTTGAGCTGAAAGTCAGCAAAGAAAGAAGGACTTCCACTCTACAACTCAAAGGAACTGAAATATGGCACAATTGGAATGAGTGAGGATAAAGATTCTGCTCCAGAGCCTATAGAAAGAAATGCAGCATTGCCCACATTGACACTCTGTTCTCAGCCCAGTAAAAGTCATACAGAATTCTGACCTACAGAACTGGAAGGCAATACATTAAGTTGTTTTAAGCCACTACATTTATAACCATAGTTTTATGGCAGGAACAGAACACTAATACATGCTCAAAAGATATGTTTAAAGTCTATTCATAGAAAGTGCTTTAGCTACACCAGATTTTATTAAACTGTTCTAGTTAATATTTTATACCTGTCTGAGATTTCTGTTGTTAAGTCTTTAATTATGCCAGAGTATAATGAGTGATTCTAAGGTATTAACATTTGTATGAATCACATGAGTATCTTGTTAAAAAATAGAATTTGCGGAGCCAGCAAATTATATGGTGATACTCCCACATGACCATGCTCAGTTCAGGTCCCAGACTTGGTGGCTTGAAAATCATGCTGGGTGCATGTGTGTGTATGCCCAAGATCCCAGGAGAAGTATGGAGAAGCATTGTGGAGTGGCTATCCCCACTTGAGGGTGATTTCTCACTTTCCCTCTCTTTGTCTCTTTCTATTTCTCTGGTGAGTGCACACGCCATGTGTAGAAGTCTCAAAAAAAAACCTCAAAATTTGATTTTGTAGGCCTGGTGTGAGAGAGAGCATTCTTCATTTCTAACAAGTTCTTAAGTGAATACTCTCTTGTAGGTCCATGGCCCAGGCTTATATAGCAAGTTTCAGAGCAAGGAATAAAGTGTTTTAAATGAAGACAAAAAGAGGAGGAAAAGTGAGAAACTAAGAAACTAACCAGTTAATGACATAGTTCATATCTTTTTTACTGAAGGCACTTAGCAAATGAACTACTTTTTAATCTGATGAGTTAAAAAATTACTTCTCCTGGGAGTAGAAGATGGTATAGCACTTATGTCACTGAACTCCTACATGGCTGATTTGAGTCCTGAATCCAGAAGTTTGAAACTCATGCCTGGTACCTATGCATGTGCGGCCAAAATTCAGAGTGGAGAACGGAGGAAAAGGGATTGCAACATGGCCATACCCCTTGGGGGTGGGTGATTTCTTGCTTTCTGTCTCTCTGTCTCTCTGGCAAGAACATATGCCCTATGCAAAAGTCTCTCTTTAAAAAAGAAAATTATTACTTCTATTATAATTTGTAATATACTTACTATATGGTATGGGTTTGACAAACATAAGTTCATATTTAGGCATTTGAACTTTGTGAGGTATTGGCAATATTTAAATCATTTGATCAAAATATATTTACCTAAATTCTATAATTTTGTTTTTTCACTGTTCTAATAAAGCACATATGACTTGATCTGTAGCTGTAAGAATTATGCTTAACAAGTGGTCCATTAATTAAACTCAGATCTTAAAATACTGAGTTGTCTTGAAAGTCACGACACATTTTTGCCTAGAAATACATATGGGAACAGCAGTTAGCATAATGGCTATGTCACTGGACATCCATGTAGTAAATAGTGATTCGAGTCCTGGACCCAGTGGCTTAAACTCATGCTGGGCACATGTGCATATGTGCCCAAGATCCCAAGAGGAGAATAGAGGAGAAGGGATTGTGGCGTGGCCATTCCCCCTGGGGGGATGATTTCTCGCTTTCTGTCTCTCTGTCTCTCTCTGTCTTTCGGGCGAGTTCATGTGCCCTATAGTAAAAAAATCCTCTCCAAAAAACAAAAAACAAACAAACAAAAAAGAAAAACAGAAAAATACATCATGACTTTTCTGACAACCCAATATATAAAGTAACGTTAACAATTTAATATGGTAATGAAGGTGCTTGCCTAGTTCATTTTCTGCTCACAGTCACAAATACTGCTTCAAAGAGAACATTTGGGTCTGTGTGTGCGTGTGGGGGGGGAATAGATTTCACCTCAAAGGTGATTGTAAAAACCCTCACGTAGTTGGTTTCAGGTTCTTTTCCTTACTCCCAGCGCATGAAACTAACTCAGACACCTCTTTGCTGTCCTTTGCTACAGTTCTGCAATGGACAATAGAGCTACGAGGAAGTGGTAGAGGAAGTGGTAAAATCCCCCCCCCCTTTCAAATTATCATGACTGCAATTTTCCAACACATTGTTACAAAAAGAATTTAAGAGATTCAAATTAAAACCCACTTAATATACAATCATTGCCCAAGAGGGGCTACACATCCAGGATGAGAACTCCTAAGGAAATAAAGGTTAATTAGAAACCTAGATTTAAAAAAAATGCACATATAAAAATGCCTAATGGTCCTAGCGATGGATGCTACTTTCAACTATAGTCAATAATTAGTTATCATAAATGATTTTTAAAAAAATTGCTAGAGAGTGTGTGCGTTCATCAGAAAAATATGAGAGAGAGAGAGAGAGTGAGAGAGAGAGAACCCTTCCACTTTGGGGGTCATGGTACAATCTCTTTTCCATTTCTACTTTTGGGATATGTGGACACATGTGCCTGACATATTATTCAAGTCACCAGGTCTGGGACATGAACTATGAAGTTGGCCATGTAGGAACTAAAGCCTTAATCACTATGCCACCAGTTGCCACAATAGACAAATTTTAAAATAACTATTACTATTTTAACATTGAAGATGGCAGTCATATTAAATTTTCTGTTTTTCTCTCTTGCTATTTGTGCTAAAATGAAGCAAAATGTTGTGTTTCTTATTTGTAGATGTCAACTTTCCTACACTTTATTTCCTCATGTAAGTTTTATTTCCATTTGAGACCAAATCTCTATTATAAGGTGTTTGAGAGAAAAGCGAAGAAGGTCATTAAAACATTACATAAAAGTTTTATTTTTATTAAATACATCAAATTCTGCTTCTGAATAAAAACAAATCTAAAATGAGCATGAAGAAATCAAAATAAAAGAAACTAACTATATCTACACATTGGATGGACTGAATTCAGAATGTTCACCCTAAGTATTTTCTTTATTGATGGAAAGGTCAATAGTAAACCATGATCTGTTTATATCTAAATAGATCTTGGGGTTCTTAGTACTGTTCACATTTGAGATCAAGGAGAAAAATAAAATTTCCTTTGTGTCTGTTGCTACTTGTCCTGGAGAGCAGCATGGGGATTTCTGTAACTGAAGAATAGCTAACGATTCTATCATTATAGAAGTCAAGCTTTGACTCACTAGTAGCTTATGTAGGATCAAAATAGATCTGAGTTTCTGACTGTCTACTCTTAACTTCAATCTCGAGAGGCAGTGCTTTTCAAGCTAAGAATTCATGAAGGGGAATCACATTGACAATTGAGAAATAGCTTACTTCAACATTAACATGGCAAACTTCCTGGCCTATGTTCAGAAATGATTCACCACTGTGAAGGTCTCAGAATTTGTTAAAACCCAGAGATAATTTTCTTTTATTTATCAGCCGCAGTTCTATTTTCAACAAAGAATAGCAATAGTCTGATTTACCTATTAATAACAAATACGTTGGATCACAACAAATGACCAGGAAGAGTCCGATAAACACTCTACACAGAATAAAGCTCTCTCTCTGTCCCAGCAGATGGCCCATTACAGCAACAATGTTTTATTGATCTCCCTATATTGAGTTCTGAACAATAAGCTTAAAAATACCACTAACATAATATTCTGTATGAATACCTTCTGCAGAGACAGGATACAATCATATAGGACACAAATAACAAGTGAAAAAGAGCATTAGAGACCTGAGTTTGAAAGCTGAATTTGCAAGATTTTTTTATGTTCTCTTATTAAAAATCAAACATATATTAGATCCTTGTATTTTGTCTTCTACACAAAGATCTAAACTAAATCACAGGTACCAGAACAAAGCAATAAGAGGCAGAAATATGTCAAGATAGAATTAATTTTTCTTTACTGGATGCCAGGCATTTCTTCCACTGACTAAGTCAATGTATTTAGGAT